TGACTATATTTATTAGTTTATCCTGATTTTTTTACATAAATCGTCATCCTGCCTTTTTTTTTTTTTGTCAAGTTGCTCACCCTGCCTTATCTTTTATTCAATGGACTTGATGAATTAACGTTGTACTTGAAATGAAACCGTACTTAACTACAAAAATAACCAAATTCATACTAAAGATATTGCTCGATTTTTATAGTAAATGGGTTTGTGTTATAAACTGTCATGTTCATTATTCATATTCTTTCATAAGTTTTAGGATAGTGTGATTTTTTTTCTGATTTAGTTTACTTGATTTTGAAAAAAAATCCCGAAATTCTAAGTAAATTCAGAACATGTAACCAGCCATGCTTTGTTTAGAGAAAAAATGGAGATGGCAAACCATGGCACAGTGGAAGGAAATGTACTTTATAAACTCCAGCGATATACTTTCTTAATTTATAATTAACTGTTTTGCTATCCTCGGTTGAAAATTATATATTGTAAATATTTAAATAGTTGCATAGAAAACAATCAGTTTTAAACAGTGTGGTTATTCACTAAATGTATTGATAAAAGGTGACTCCATTTTTGTACATACTTTTACAGTAGTCATCCTTAATTTCTTAATATTTCGTTTATAAGTTTATCATACATGTATGATTTTGTATTTCATTTTAATACGCACGCATGCCACACGTTACTTTGGCGGATAGTTCAACAATGTTATGCAAAGCTCTATTCTTACGGTATGAAATTAAAGGATAAATTTTCAACCAATTAAAATCGAAAACAGTACATTTATATAGTTCCTTATAAACTACGACATTTCTCACAAGTATTTATTTATTTTTTAGTTCCACACATGCAAAAATAAAATTTTCGCCGATGAAACATTTCAAACCTTTTTACACCAACATGCCTTCACTGAATTCATTTGAATTTCGTGGTGACCATGATAGTACATTGCATAGTACATCTATATTCACGTGCACACATGATACGATCTTTCGGGGACAATTTGCTCGTTTATGACACGTCATTTCTGAATGACCAAACGCTTAGCTACTTTATTTTCGTTTTATAGCATGAAAACAATAAAAGAGGAATGTGCAACCCATCATAAATTTGAAATGGATCAGTATTATGAGATCCTTATTATAAGTAACTACGACATTGTCAGGATAATAACCTAGCGTCAATATGAAAGAAATTAAAGTGGTTCATACATCCATCCGTATAAAAGCGGCACATGTATTTTATTTTATCCTTATATTTTTCATAGTGCGGTACAAGTGCTGCATGCATAAAGAATATTACTTAACACAAATTATTAGTATAATATTTCGACCCCACTATTTGAAATTCACAAAATACTTATTTAATTATTTCGACCAAAAATCATTGTTTTTTACGTTCGTAGTAACGTAGAACATTCCATTGTCGGTCACCTGTGTCAATTCACGTGCACACTACAATTGTTGTTGTATTTAAATCTTTCGGCCAATGAAATGAGACGTTACAAGTTGTTTGTTTGTGATACGCCAGAATGTTATCAATGAATTATCAATCGTTAAACTTGACTGCATTTCAGTGTACCTATTCAAAAACGTAAATGCAAATTTCACAAGGCTTGATCCAAATAGCCTTTTTACTGTCTAATAACTTGCAAGTACGAAAAAGACAGGAAAGAAGTATATTTTGTCTATATGTTTTGTGTTTGCACACTTTTTAAAGTTGATCATGCATTCGTTCTAAAATAAAATTTTGACCAGATAAAAGTTAAAAGATGACATAATTGGACAACCGCAATTGTTTAATCGCTTTGACGTCCGAAAAAAAAGATAATAATCAACACATCCATTGTAACTTTTAAAGCCAGTTAAATCCTTTTTTGCTGAAAGAACGTCCGATATCATAAAAAATTCATTATCAAAACATAACAAAAACACAAGTAAAGAACGTTTAAGTATTCAATATAAATCAAAACACAAAGGTTATTCCTGATTAGTTTTTCGAATTATTTTATTTAGGCGTTGAGACCCTTTGGTGACCCCATAGTTTAAATGTCTATAATAAATACGTCGTGAGTTGTGGGCGTTACAGACGAACGTTCACCTAATCTTACCCAGTCAATGGGATATTTTAGCGCGCCAATCAATGGTCTCGGCTACACTGTTTTGCACATGATTCTATAAAGTTGGTAGAATTTGATAATTTAAAAAGGTATAGTGAATAAATCAATATAATGATAATTATATACAATTAAAAAGTGTACAACACCAAAATTTAATAAAAATAATAGTAGATAACTACAAATATCAATTCATATTTCGGATATATATATAGATTCTTAAAGTCCGAGCCTCGGCGTGGACATTAAAATTAAATAATTGAACTACAGAGATTGGATAAATTCGATTTTCCACGAGTCACTATGTAAGAATCCGTTTTTCTAATGATTATCAAATATATTTCCCCTTCGAATGCTTGTTACATTCCTGATTTCTACGTCAAACAAATATAAAGTTGTCAATTTCTCTAACACCTGTTATCACATTTTGATTTTTCCAGAGAGCTTTTAAAGGTTATGACCTTGTAACTTAGCCAATCGTCTACTGAGATCATCAGCAACCACAAGTTGATTAATTTTTTTAAATAATGGGTCCAGAAAGGGTTAAATTGCCAAAGAATTAGAGAAAATGGAATATCCTTCTTCAGTGTGATCAGCCTGTTGTAAGATAGAGTCATTATTATCATTTCTGACTTTCAGAAATCTTGAAAGGTATACAAAATTAGAAAGTGGGCCCTTATTCAAACAATTAAACTGGTGACAATTGAATAGATAATAAAATATCACAGTTTTGTGATGACATTTAAGTGCATAAAAAAGTATGCCCCATCATATCTTACTAGCAAAAAGTAAAATCACAAAAATACTGAACTCCGAGGAAAATTCAATCGGAAAGTCCCTAATCACATGGCAAAATCAAATGACAAAACACATCAAACGAATGGACAACAACTGTCATATTCCTGACTTGGTACAGGCATTTTCAAATGTAGAAAATGGTGGATTGAACCTGGTTTTATAGCGCTAAACCTCTCACTTGTACGACAGTCTTATCAAAATCAAGTTTCATATGTTTCAGACAGAAGTTCATACCCCTGGAGAAATGCTGTTCAATGAAACCTTATACTTCCTAAACCAAAAATCGAATTGTTCAAGATATCTTCTAGATATTCTGGACCATCCTGCAAACTTTTTGCCTATATCGTTATCAAATATTACAAATGCTTATTCTTTCAAACACAAAAAACACAAAAAACAGATCATTTATTGAAATCAACCAATTGGAAAAAAATGTTGAATGTGAATTACTCTATCCTGTTTATTTTATCATTACATTTTATGCAGTTGTATTGAACATTATCCTTATGCTTGACTTTTATACTAATGTATGCTATGTATATGTTTGTTCAACGTTTTTTTTGTTCATGCTATTTTATGATGACGGCCTCGGGGAGATAAGTTATATAACTAACTGTGTAACCCTCTTAAAATAAAGTACTGTTGTTGTTTTTCAAGACATTTTTTGACGTAACCGACGCCCCCGTAAGAAGGATCGTTGACCATTATCTATCTTGATGTTCTGATATAAAGAAAAGCTCAGTAGAGTCAGTATGCATATAGCATATAATCCATATCTAAATAAATATAATATATATATATACGGTCGGTAAACCTTTATGAACAAAGAAAACCAGTCTTTTCTATTAATGGCTATGTAATCAGATAAACTTTCCCTAATAAAGCTGGTTCACTTAGCTCAGTCTTTCGACTTACACTTAAACTTATAGTACATAGCATAAACTCGTCATAGATACCAGGCTTAACATTTTGTGCGCTATATACGCGTTTCGTTTACGAAAGATTTATCAGTGACGCTCGAAATTCAGAATAAAAAAAAAATATTATGGAATTTATTGTATTATCTTATAACATCCCCTTCGAATATATTGAGGCTTTTTCACTTTTAACTGCGAGTCCACAGTTATTCAAAACTGGATTTGGCTGTCATAAATCTTGAAACTTGTTCTAATGTGCCTATATAAAATAGGGAGATGTGGTATGATTGCCAATGAGACAACTGTCCACAAAGTTCAAATGAAGTGGATGTAAGCAATCATAGGCAACCGTACGGCCTTCAACAATGAGAAAATCCCATACCGTATTGTCGGCTATAAAAGGCCCCGACATAAGAAATATGAAACAATTAAATTAAGAAAACTAACGGCCTAATATATAACAAAACAATTTACGAAAAAAAAATATGACAGACATGAACCAACAACAACCACTGAACTACATGCTCCTAACTTGGGCCAGGTACATAAAGAATGTTGCGGGGTTAAACATGTTTGTGAGCGCTCAATCCTCCCCTAACCTTAAGCAATGGTTAACAGTGGTTTAACAGCACAACACAAGAACACACTCTAAAAATCAATTGAAAAAGGCTAAACTCATCAGATCGATACAAAGTAGAAAAACATCAAACAAAAACACACCAGATGTGGCAGAGAAAAATAGGAACACTAATGCTGACTTGCAAACACAAAACCAAGTCAGGATTAGTGTTCCTATTTTTCCAGGGGGATGAATGTCTGATACCGTTATTGGGATTTCAGTCACCTTGATTGGCTTTCAACAATTGATTTACTCAGTAAAACTAATAAAAAAAAACACATTGCACTATCCATTTACTACAGTACAGGTAATTTTTTCAGCGATAATTTGTTTTAAGATAACAAAAACATATCTTGCAGTAAAACATTTCAGAAGATGGTTCAATCCTTTTTACATTAAATTAACATGATGTGTTACTTGTTTGATTCAGAGGCATACATGTGTATATATGTCTCTGTTTGATTATATAAATGTAAAAATCCAATTAAAATTACTTATAAAGAGTTTACATACTTGTATTAAGTACTATTATAGTATTCCATTTCCGGATTTTATACTGATTTGTTTTGTACTGTTTTTGTAAAATTCATTTTATGTAGTGATGGCCATCATTTGTGTATTGAAAACTTTCGTCATCGTTATCAAATTAATGTACATTCATGCAGGTTAGTGCTAAAAATTAACTACATTATCTTAATTGTGGATATCGACATAAAAACGAACATTTAAAAAGATTTTTTTATATGTAGTACTTTCCAAAACTTTATCAGATTCCTACATGAATTGCTTGAAAAATTTGCTATCTTGCTGAACCTCTCGGACTTGGACGTTGTCGCTGTTATAATGTCCAAGCAATTATACTTTGGCAGTTGTTTTTCACTTTTTCCGTTGATTGATAGCGTTTGATTTTGTCAGTTCTTATGGACTTCCCCTTTTTGAATTTGCCTTGTAGTTCGGTATTTTATATAAACTTTTTTGTCCATTTATAGTTAGCCCTTTATGTACTTGCACTAGAATTAATTAAAGTCGTCACTCCCCAAAGAGTAAAAATTAAATATTGTTGATTATTATTTAGAAATTAAAAAGATTTCGTTTTACCAGCTTTAATATACTTTTACATTCTAAATTTTACATGATGAAGTTTATTCCAGAAACATGCAACATGCAAACACAATTTGTATATTCTAAATTACTTAAACTTACTCGATTCCATTATTCCGCAATTACGGTTTATCTATAAAAGCCGGAATTTTGGATTTACATCAGACTGTTTTATTTCCTTCACGATTTTATCGCAATCAATTGATTGTTCTTTTTTCTCACTTGCAATACTTTTTAGCTCACATGGCCAATGTGAGATATTGTCGTCACTTGGCGTTCGTAGTCGTCAATGAAGTTTTAAAAAAACTTGTCGTTTGAAACTACTATGCCAAATTGACCACAATGATCATTAGAGTATCTACTTTAATCATTATGTAGGATGATTCCTCCAGCCAACCAACATGGTTATAATAGAATACAGGGGAAAATCAAGTAATGTTCTTACATCTTAAAAACCGTTGTAACATTGTAGTAATTTTTTTGAATATTGTTGTTATCGATACTAACACTGATGATGTTTTTGGTGAATTAAAAGACAACTTTATATTAATTGCTACAGTCATGATATTAAATCATGTCGATACAGTGTAGTTATATTTTGAGATTGCACAAGGTCGTGTTTTTCTGGCACTATATATGACGTCTTTACACTAAACCGCTGCATATGTATTAAAAGAGGGACGAAAGATACCAGAGGGACAGTCAAACTCATAGATCGAAAACAAACTGACAACGCCATGGCCAAAAATAAAAAGACACACAGACAAATAATAGTACAGATGACACAACATAGAAAACTAAAGACTAAGCAACACGAACCCCACCAAAAACTGGGGTGGTCTCAGGTGCTCCGGAAGGGTAAGCAGATCCTGCTCCACATGTGGAACCCGTCGTTTTGCTTATGTTATTACCAATCCGATAAATAGTCTGATTCGGTAGGTCACATTCGTGAAAAGGATAGGGTATTGTAGTTACGACATAAGGAACATATCCGATATCATCTGTGAAACGGTTATTCCATAACGGTCAACCAACTCGTGATGGCGTCCGTAAAATTTACGAAGGGATGATTTCAACTTCACCATTTGGAACTCTTGGTTTAATAGCTTCCATGTGAGCAGCAATCCTCTATCAAGGAAGTCATGATAGGAAATACAAGCCCGGGAATATCGTATCAATTGGGAGATATGTACTCAGTATGCAAGCGCTGCTGGAATGTTGCTACATAAAAATGGAAAGTTCACAATTGGGAAGCTGAAATCATCTCTTTTGTCGTAAAGTTTTGTTTTCAACCGACCCTCATTGTCAATTTCTAGATGTAAGTCAAGATATGAGGCAGACTAAACTGTATCTGTAGTATCCTTTATCTCTAGTTCGATGGGATAGATTCGTTCAACATAGTCACCAAATTTTGTATTATTTAGTGAGGGAACATCTATATAGCGGAACGTAAAGTTAAAGGATATTGCTAACTTCTTATCTTTCTTCCTAAGAAGTTCCTGTATGGAGTCAGCCTCATAATAATAAAGAAACAAGTCGGCAAGAAGAGGAGCACAATTGGTTCCCATTGAAATTCCGACAGTCTGTTGAAAAACACGTCCTTCAAACGTAACAAATATGTTGTCAATCAAGAAATCAAGCATCTTGATAATGTCAGTTTCAGAGAATTTTTTGTTTGAATCAGAGTGATTCTTTACAAAGTAGGATTTATCCCTCCCCAAGACAAGATACTTGTATCTACGTTCCCATTCTTTTTAATGAAACAAAGTAATACCAACTCTTTCAATTTGTCTTTTAGTTTGGAATGGGGAATACTTGTATAAAGTGTAGAAAAGACAAATGTTTTAATACTATTGTAAGATGAAAGAGTCTTAGATTGTACGTACTCTAAAAGATCTTTGAATTTTTTTAGTATCCACATCTGATTCACGCCACCTCTAGAATAGGCAGTTTCACAATAACTTTGGAGCCCGGCTTTGATTGCTGAAAAAAATAGATGTTAATAATTTAGAAAGAGGTTTCGTGGAGCACTTGGAAGACCGAGCAATATACCGTTGTTTGTAAGGACACTTATGTAGTTTAGGTATCCAATACAGTGATGGAAGATCCAGTTCTTCATCTTTGGTTGAAATTCCAAAGGAACATAGAACAGAACTATGATTATCCAGGATTTCCTCTTTGGTAAGTGTCGTGAGGGTATATGTTGAGTTTCCAAATGAATTGTCAATACCTAATTCATTTATCAAGCAGTTTATGTAATGATATTTACACACACATACGATGTTATTTGGGGCTTTATCTGCGGGGGCAACAACATATTTGTCATGGAGGTAGGACAAGTGTTTTGCAACATTTGGGTCTTTAAAAATTGACGTAGCGTGGGTATTGGTAGACCCATTTAGTTTCTTAATTCGGATTTGTATCAACGACCTCACAGCTTTAATCCATTAGGAAAGAGTATCTACGTCTTCAGCTGTCGCGCGTTTAGCTCATTGCCTGGCATAATCCTCGACTGAATCCGTCAGTATTTTGAAGTTGTATTTCCAATTTATGGATTTAGGCTCACGATATTTCGGATAACAAATTTCGAAGGGAAGTGTTATTGACAATGTTGAGGTCTCCGGTAATAACGTGGCCAGCCGGATTATATGTGAATTGGGAACTAGCACAGGTGCAATCAGGAGGTTTAGACTTGAAGTCGTCAATGTTGAGATCCTGTAAAACGTGTTTGTAATTAAAAATTTTAGTTGCAATTGGTTTGGTTTAGGTATAAGAAATTATTGGTACAGACTGGTCTTTAAAGTAAGGAGGTATTTTAGACTGAACTAATTTATGATGAAGGATATTGCCTAAGTTGACGCCATCGAGACCTTTGTTGGCAAAGGAAAGTTTAAGAAAATATCTTTTCTCTTTTTCATCTTTTCCAAAGCGAACTGGTTTGAAAAGTCTGTGACTTGCAATATCCGAAATGATAGCTGTAAGTTTGTATTGGTTTGAATGAGGGTTTGTAACAGTGGTTTCCAAACATAAATTGAACAGAGAATGAAGTTTTGAAAGGGGTAATGAATAAAGTTTCGTGCGAATGTGATGGATACCTAACGGCTTTTAAATAAATGGCAGCAAGTCATTAATAGAGACATCATGCAAAGTATGTGATGTATAATGACGATGACCATGACTGCGTCTACGTCGAGGAGTAGAGTTAAAAATATTCATCACATTCACCGAGCTACAGGAAGGACTAGATAGAATACCTATACCATCAATTTTGTCATTGCAACCATATGGTATCGCAGTTCCCAATTGTCGAATCCAGTAGTCCTCTTTTTGTCTACGGAGAGGCATAAGTCTGGGAAAACAATTTACTTATTAGTTGTTATTTGATTTTTAACTAGCTTTTAGTATCTGCTAGTACTCTTAAATCGGTACTTTGTTGTCTCAATGTTAGTTGGTTTTTTTTTTTTGTGCTTCGTGCCAAATTGAAGAGCTAAGTCATTTCCAGTTTGTTTTTTATTGTGATGTTGCACCACTCTTCCAGGTTAGGAGAGGGTTGGGGACCTCACACCCATTTTTAACCCCACCACATTCTTTATTTGCCTGTCTAAAGTCAGGAGCCCGTAATTCAGTAGTTGTCGTTGGTTGCTTACAATCGTTTGTATTTCTTTTATTGTTTTGTCATTAATCAGACAATTGGTTTTCTTTATTGAATTGTTTCACATTCTAACATGTCAATGTCTGTAATATTATAGCTTACTATACAGTATGAGTTATGCTCATTGTTAAAGGCCATACGGTACCCTACAAATGCAAATTTTGCTCATGTAATCACGTGAAATTCACCTTAAACCTCAAACGAGCTTACACGTCAACTTTACAAAACAAAATTGGTATTTTTCAAGATTTTAATTAAAAGATTTTATTTGGAAAACTTAATTTTAAAAGATTCACGTGAAAACAGTTAACGTGAGTTTCACATATTAGTTCGTTTGAGGTAAAATTCACGACATGCATTTCAAGTGAGATTCACCTTAAATTCACGTAAGTGAAATTTCCCTGTGCATAGTTGCTTACATACACGCCATTTTGACTCTGGTGGATAGTTGTCGCACTGGCAATCATATCACATATCCTTATTTGTAGATAAATAAAGAAAATATGACATAGGCAAAATGCTGAGAATGTCAGGATCTACCTACAATTCATTAGGACTAAAATCGTCAGACCTCTCCTTGTTTCAGTTGTAGCCCTTAAATTGTGATTTAGCAGTTTTTGTGGGTTTTTCCTGTAGTGCTTGAAAACTATTATATTTATTATAATAGATAGAGCGAAAGTTTAAATAGTGCAATGATCTGCAAGACAAGATCTACAAGTTAGTCAATTACATATAGAAGTAATTGCCATTAAATGACGTTGTTTTTCTTTATTTTTCTATAATCTTGAAAACTTATTAGACGATCTACAAATGGTCAACATGGACGAAATCGTCAGTAGATTCCTGATAGAATCCCTCTTAAATAAGGATATTTTTATTTTTTTTTGGCAATTTTCTTGAAAACTTTATTAAATATATGGCATTTTTACACTGCAAAAATGATCAGTCATACAAGATCTACACACAAGTCAACTTGGTTGAAATCGTTTGTGGAATTCTTACAGCAATCATTGCCCTAAAATAATGATTCTGTTTTAATTTATTTTAGTGTTTGTACCTAACATCGTGATAATGGCGTTGTCAGTTTGTTTTCGATCTATGAGTTTGACTGTCCCTCTGGTATCTTTCGTCCCTCTCTTCTATAATAGATAGACTGATTTATTTTCAGCTTAATAATCAACAACGGAAGATTTACAAATAAGTCAGTATTAAATGAATTGTCAATCGACTCCTTACAGAGTTGTTGCCCCTACATACAGCGTATACTATTATTTTTTTCTTCATTTTTTGTCTACTATTTACCATTCAACTAAAGTACTCTTGTTGTATTGTACCAATTTCGTGCAAAAATGATAGATGAGCATTTCATGCTTCTTGGAGCCTTTGTTTATCAGAATCATTTTGGTTGTTGTCCTTTAAAACACTCTTTCAATTGATTGTCGAACTTATAATTCGTAATGCCATGATACGTATTCATAACAGTTCAGTCATCAGACTTTCAGAAAGTTCTATAGACAAAAAACTGTAGTTTTCAAATATTTTGCACTATAAAAAAAAGGTATTTTAATCTGTTTTTACTTTTAAACATTCGCATTGTTTTTAAAGAAATTTCTTCTACATTATAAGATTGCTTCAGCAACAGGATTTAGACACACAAAGTGATTGATGAACGGTCAATTACAGTACATGCACTTCAATTTTAGTTTAGAAAAAGGACGGACCCTAGGATGGAGTGCAAGAGGCCTTCTTTCCAGAGAGTCGATATTTATTACATCCATTACATTTGTACACCCGCACATCCTTTTTCCAAAAAAAAAACTTGGGCCCTCATTGAGAATCTTCAGACAATTATACGTACTATAGTAAAGGCATAATAAAAATTAATAGGAAGACATTTAATGGTTATATTTAATCTAAACTTCTAAAGACCTCAACTACCCTTCCCGATCCCATTCAGCTCGGTTAAGTTGGAAAACTCGTTTGCCTACGTAATTGCAAATATTCTAGTCGTACAATGTTTGCTCTTTCATCAACCGCAGCTACATAATAATAATATTTTACTTTGTTTCATAAATATCCTTGATGGCTTACTATCCAGCTATATATAAATAGTACACGATATTTAATATGTGAATATTAACACCGTAAAAACAAAGAAGATCACGAACACAATATTTTTAATTATAAAAAATGAAAGATTATTCATAGAATAGCATTAAGGATTATTGGTATGCTGATTCATTATTTTATTAAAGTATCGCCACGTGTTTAACATAACACATTCACAAACATATATAAAACATCGTGTATATCAAAACTAACAGTTAAATATCATTAGCTTAATATGTATATATATATATATATAAGTGCCAATCTACTTCGAATTATGAGAGGCTACTAAAAGAATTATTATATACAATACTTTACATCATTCTTAAAACTATTTTGATATATTTAGGATTTAATTACATCTTCAGATGTACATAAATAAGAAATTTGTTCTTCTGCATCAAATATTAAAAATAAAAGCATGTTTCAGCAACTAATCTTCATTTTTAAATATTTTTTTTAATCTATGTGGTCTCCAGCCCATGTCACCGTAAATAGCATCTTTTGGCGTATACTTGCCAACACCCATAACAATCTTATAGCTCTGTTTAGTTAAACATATTTATTGTCCAGATATAGCATTAAGGATAAGGTACAAGTTAGCCATACTTACATCGTCTACTCCATCACAATATCTCTGTTATGGACGACGTTAACAAAAGTAATCAAAGTACTGAAGTACTGAATATCGGATGACCGCAAGTTGTGGTGGATCACAAGCACTTGCCTCAGAAAAAAATCATATCTCTTTACCTGAAAGTTAAGTTATGATACATAGATATATGCTTTTCTGAGACAAGTTCCAGTGTTGATGATGAATAAATGACAGGGAATTCAACCTCACCGTAATATTTATTATATTGTAGTGATATAATCCTTTGTTATCAGTATACTCTGGTTTGTTGTTATATATTATATTAATATTTGTATAGCAGTTATATATTTTATAGCAGATCATCTTAATAACTCTACAGGCAAATTTTCATCCATTTGTATATCATTATATTCTACTATTCTAATGATAGTGCAGTGCAAGTGCATGGTGGACACTCTTCTGTAAAAGTTCATTTTTCTCATAGATTGAATTTGATTACTCATTCATATTTTCCCGCTTTTGTTGAAAAACGTTCTCGAGATATTCTTCCGCATGCGTTAACACAAATTTTCGGTATCCATGATTTGTTATTGATATATATATTTCTCACGACAAAACATTTACATATCATTTATCTATGTTCTTTAAAATTATTTTCTTGAATATTTATTGATGAAACTAATATATAACAAGCGATAAGGAATGTTATTTTGCACTCGATAGTATCCGCGTAATTATACGAAATACGTTCGGTTATCAGTCTAAAACGCAAGTCACGTGGGTAGAAATGTCTGTGGCAACATAACACCGGAATGACTCAAGGTCATCCGCTGTAAAAAGAAAAATTATCAGTGACCTAAAATAAATGCACCACGAAAGACTATAACTTACCATACCAGAATATAACATGTTGGATGCTAACACAAGTTGTTTAGCTGAACACAAAATTATTAGTTTATCGAATTTAATTTAAGCTATAAAATTATGCAAGCTTCAGATAAATAGTATATCGTCGGTGTTGCTCGAAACCAATCATTGAATTTCCCCAAATAGTAAATCATAGTCAAAAGCAATTATTTCAATATTGCACCAAACATCCGGCAAAAGTACATCTGTGCATCGGTCGATGATAGCCTTTAATTTTTTTTACTGGTTGACTTTATTGCATTTTATTTCCTGTTTTAATTTTTTTTTTCAGAAATATGTGGCGGTATTCTGCAAACGTCTTCAGGATATATATCTCCACCACTGTCAAACAACACTTATCAGTCTAACAGTTTCTGTCGATGGGAAATAAATAGCAACAGAAATAACAGCATTATTTTAACTTCGACAGATTTCTCCGTAGAAGAGTCACCCGGATGTATGTAAGTAGAGAGGGTGAGAAAGTATAACCCGATCTGTACACCAATTTTTGACATTTTTACCTATTATGTCTGTTTGTTTTGCTCTCACATTGTTGTCAATATAATGGAATTATATGCGACTGGCATACAAGTGAGAGGTTTAGCTAGCTATATCAAAGTACTGAAGTACTGAACATCGGATGACCACAAGTTCTTGAGGATGGTCAAAAGCACTTGTCTCAGAAAAAAACAACATATCTCTTTACCTGAAATTGAGGTTAATGTACAGAGATATATTTTTTTCTGAGACAAGTTCGTGCGTGGATGATGAATAAATGACAGGAAATTCAACTTCACCGTAATAACTATTATATTGTAGTGCTACAAATCAGTAGTTATATATTATATTAAAATAACAGTTACATATATATATATGATTTGCATCCATTTGCATATCATTCTATTATACTATTCTAATAATAGTGCAATGCAAGTGCATTGGTGGACATTTTTCTGTAAAAATTCGATTTTTCGAAGATTGGATACGAGTAGGCATTCATACTTTCCCGCAAAAACAATTACAGAGTTACCGGTCCTTGCCGGTATTGTCGCAAAACGTTCTTTGAGATATTCTTCCACATGCTTTAACACAATTTTTTCGGTACGTGTGCATTGATATTATCAACGATTTTTTACTTATATATATATCTCTTACTACAAAACATTTTCATACTATTAATTTATGTTGTAAACAAAAATATTTTTATCAGTATTCATTGAAGAGATGTATTTATATCAAACGATAAGGAATGCTATTTTGCTCTCGTTTAAGTGCGCATATTTATCATGTTTATAGATCGGTTACAAACCCAAAACTAATTTACATAATGGAAATCTAGGCGATAGCAATACATCGGAATGACCTCAAGGTCATCGCGATGGAAAAACCAGGTTTAATCCACCATTTTCTACATAAGGAAATGCCTGTACCAAGTCAGGAATATAACAGTTGTTTTCCATTCGTTTGATATGTTTGAGCTTTTGATTTTGCCTTTCCGTTCTGAATTTTCCTTGGAGTACGGTATTTTTATTATTTGACTTCTTATTACTGCAGCGATTATTTAAATGAATACAAAATGTTCATGTGCATTCAGGATTATTATTATTCTACATTATATCTTTATTTCAAATACGCGTATTTGCCCCAAAGTAACAAATTAATTTCTAATTATTTGAAAAAAAACTTATCTAAGGATTTCCGTTTTTCGATAAAGATCGCCAATATATTTATTTTATCGAAAGTCGTTCTTATGATACCCAACCTTTAATGAATTTAAATTTGACGTTTTTTGTGCATTTTAACAGATTTTCATAGTTTTACGTACCTATTTTTCTTTTGCTTATAATAACGAGAGATAATTGCCCCTTTTCGAGGAAACATATTTCATTGCTAGATTTTAAACAAAACGGGATTATCTTTTTATTATTATCAATCATCATATAAAATGAATAAGGTTCAACTTTACATGAAATTGAAGAAAAAGCGAATTTACTTTTAGACACCGAATCAAATTTCTATAATAGATAAGAAAAATATAGGAGAAATTAATCCAAAATAACACCAAGACCAGCCGAAAAACACCGATGCGTAGGGAGAATAACCATTGGATATTAGCTGACTGAGATAAACTATCATTCTCCAGTTCTTCATCAGAAATTAACTTCACAGTTACAAATGCAAGGAAGGAGGTGCCCATAATTTCGGAAAAGTGTATTTTTTCAATCATTGAAATTTTGTAAAGTAACTGTGACGTCATGATGAGTCTAAAAGGGCTATGTATATACCAAAAATTATCAGCAACAGCCGTCCTACAGTAAATATCAATTGTACATACGTCAGCTTTGTAAAAGACATATTGTGGTTAAATGTTTTGTGGCTGTGCAAAAAGCTGTTGGTCATACAAAAAAATTTGAATGTTAATTTCACACTTGTAAAATATAATCACAAATGTATGACAGACTAATGGCTTGTGGGCAGTTGAAAGGTGTTATTTGATAAATTATCTCCGGTTGCTGTAAACATTGGTGTTTTCATCCTTCGTGTAAGTTATTTCAAGTAATAAAGATCTCCAAAGAATTCTCTCAATAAAACCGGGATGATCAGTATATTAAATTCGTTTTGAAAACATCTTATAACATATGACTTCCATTTATATCGTTAATTATTGTGCACATCTTCCGAAAGATAGAAAAATAGACTGACATGACACGTGAAACAGTGGGATAAAAGTTGTGAAATCATGATTAATAAACCAAATCAATACTTCGGTTAATGGACATTATCTTTTTAATCAACGACAAATATGAGTAGACTTCATAAAATAACGCATATCTAGTTGAAATTTAAAAGCACTTTATTTTCATAAACATTCGTTATTCATGTAAATCATATACTCTTTAGTTATCACAACGCAAAAAAATATGATGAAAAAAAATCATCAAAGAAACAAGGCTTGTGATTATAGATATAAGAAGATGTGGTATGAGTGCCAATGAGACAACTCTCCATCCAAGTCACAATTTGTAAACGTAAACCATTATAGGTCAGAGTACGGCCTTCAATGCTGAGCCTTGGTTCACACTTATGATTATGTAGGCACTTGTGTTTGTACGCCAGACACACGTTTTGTCGACAAAAGACTCATCAGTGACGCTCAAATCAAAAAGGTTAAAAGGACAAATAAAGTACGAAGATGAACACTCAGGATGCAAAATACCGAAAGATTTTGCCAAATGTCTTAAGTTAATCTATTCGTTGTGTAGAAAATCCTTAGTATTTTGAACAATTCAAAGTCTTTTAAGCAGTAAATTAATTGATAACATCATATCAATGATAATTCATGTCAATAAAAATAAGAATATTTTCATTTTTGCTAAATGCTATCGTTTTTAACTACTTATGATGACTGAACATTCTCGAAAATGCATGACATTATACAAAGTCAAGTGTCAAATACATAGGTGTAAGATATTTTATGCTTTACATGTATGTAATTTCACACAGTCCAGTGTAAGCACTTTAATGCGCTATTTAAAAATAAACACCTGTTCAAGCTACAAAATTTTTGTTAGACGAATGGAAGGATTAACTAGCTAAAAACAAGGTTTTCTTCGGTTAATGCCTGTTCCAAGTCAGGAATTTCACAGTTGTTTTCCATCGTTCCGTTGGTTGGTATATATAGTCTAACGTTTGATTTTGTCAGGTTTTGTGGACTTCTCCATTTTTTAATTTACCTTGGAGTTCGATGTTTTTGTTAATACTTTTTTGAATATTGGAAATTGAAGTCTCCTTGTATAATTATAATAGATCCGTCGACGTCGTCATGTCATGTTTGTTATAATAAAATGCATACTTCATCAGTAGCACCCACAATCGTTGGCTATGATATATTGGATTGTTATGTGTTTTTTTTAAAACTTGAAATATCACCTGATAAAGGCATATGATATTGATTTATTACTTACGTTGAATGATGTAAGTGAACTATTTGCGTCATGTCCAGTTATTCCGTTTGTCATAGACTTAATTTTGTTAATCTTATCACAATTTATTTTCATTTACATTGTAACAACGTTGTAGATTGAAACTTTTGGTTGATTTTTTTATTCATTTTTTTTGTCCCATTCATCACATTCATATTTGTAACAGTACGTTCTTGTTCTATTTGTGTTGCTGTTATTAGTCATTACACCTTTAATAATTCTGGACGAAAGTTACGATTGCTTGAGATGTATGAAAAAGTGGGATGAGATACCAATAGGCCAATCAAAAGAGTCAAATAAAAGATCCAGATTCTACATTTTTTGCAAAACAAATTATTTTCACCTTACCACACACATCTTATAAAAATAAGAAGATTTTGTATGATTGCCAATGAGACAACTCTCCACCAAAGATCAAATGACATAGAAGTTAACAACTATAGGTCACCGTATGGCCGTTCAACAATGAGCAAAATTCATACCGCATAGTCAGCTATAAAAGGCCCCGAAATGACAAATATAAAACAATTCAAACGAGAAAACTAACGGCCTTTATGTACAAAAACAATGAACAAAAACAAATATTACCTGTTTTACAGATCATACAAAGTCATGATCACTATCGTTTAACTTACCCTGTGAGGACTACAGGTGCTATCCAGTGATCATTCTGTCTGTCGGTTGGTAGGTCAGCACTCTGTATGCCGAATAGTTATAACTCGAGTTCGCTTATACAGATTAAACTTTTTTAAACACAATGTTAAGAGGTGAAAACAAAATTCCCTGTCAATTATGAAGTTTTAGATGTAGTGTGCTTTTCCAGATTTATTGGAATATAAAAGTCGGAAACTCCTTTACTATCTATAGACCAAATTTTCTTCTATGGATTTCATAATATTTATATACAATGAAATAAATCTCTTTCGATGTTTTTGGAGCGTCTGTCCAGAGCTAAGGGATTCGATAGTCATGGGTTTATATTTTACGGCGCGGGGCGTTTGCGCTTTTTCATAGGACATTTGCGCTTTTTTAATGGACATGTCACAGGACATTTGCGCTTTTACAATATTTTCTTTATGGTTAAAAGTTAAATAGTCATTCCCTAGCACATTCGTGTTTAAAAGTCATTTCATAGCACATTGATATAGTTATATATACCTAAAGGCAAACATTCTAAAGACATACAGACACGTATAGGCATCACAGGTCAATTTTCGCTTGATATCTGAAGCCCAAGGAATGAACAATTTTGCTCTTGTAATCTGTCCTGACGGGTATTTCGCCCTCATTTCAAATACATATTCTAGTCTCTATTTCTCAATTTTTGACTTAGATAGATATAGGAAGATGTGGTATGAGTGCCAATGAGACAACTCTCCATCCAAGTTACAATTTATAAAAGTAAACCATTATAGGTCAAGGTACGGCCTTCAACACGGAGCATTGGCTCACACCGAACAGCAAGCTATAAAGGGCCC